CGGTGACGGAGCCCCCGCAGTTCGCGGACTACGCGCTGTACCGGCCCGCGCACCACCTCGCGCGACACACGCCGCACACTGACGACACTCACAGTCAGTTCATTATATACTCAAATATTTATGTTCAAAAATTCTTACTAGTATTAAAAATACAAATATTTAGATGGATGCTTCTTAACGGAAATTTGGCATACTATGTGGCCTGTAAATGATAGTCTGGAAGAACACATAAGCTACTATTTTTTTTTTTTATAATTGCGTGGATGGAGTCGCGTCCGAAAGCTAGTAACCTATAATGTTTTCGCTTGAATGAGCTTTCTTCCCGTCAAAGTCCCGTTAAAATCAAACCAGCCGTTCCGCAGATTATTCGGAGTAAATGCGGCTTGACCACAGACAAACATTTTTTTATTAAAACGTACTTCAGATATCAACTATACAGCATGTTCACGAAAAATCTTTTTTTTTCTTTATTGTAGTACTACAATTTTGACAGATTATTTTTAAAACTGACAATGAAATTATGTAAACGACGACACTGACGTATATATCTTTATCACCGACTTTGTTTACTGGCTGTTAACTAGAAAATTGTTAGGTTTTTAGTAGTAAACCAGTTGGTGCTGACACCTGGCTATACGTGATTTTTTAAATAATTTGGTAACAACTTTTTAGAAATAGTATATTGTTTTAAGGTGGCGAGGAGTGCGGTCGTCTGGTAGAGAGCGTATCTTCGTACTGCTTGGATCTGAACCTCGACGACAGCTCCGCCAGACTCACTAAAGCCAAAAAGACGAAAGGTTTAACTCATGTTATATTATTATTATTAATTTGTTGTATTTGTACTTAATTGTCTTTTTTGTTTTTTTAGAGAAATCCTCGCCTTCTAGTGAAGAAGAGCATCCGATATTGGACCAAAGTGAAGGTTGGTTTACACTGGGATTTATCAAATTGTCAATGAGACCTCTGCCCATATACATTCGAATTTGCGTACTTTGCCTTTAATCAACAGAACTCACAGAAAGAGGATTTTCTGTACCTTTGTGTCACATCTTCTTTTAATTCTCTCTTTGTACGAAAAATGAAAGGGGAATAAAACACACTTATCCGAGAGTACACGGAATTATTTACACTTCTGCGTCTTATGGTATTGCGGGAGCCAGTACATTCGTGCGACGATATTGAAGTTCTAGCAATATTATTTTAATAGAAAACTGGAGGGTTTACGAAGATTTTTATTACATAATGTGGCAAATGAACAAGCGGCCTTCTGATTTTGCCAAAATAGCAAAGCGATCTGCTCATCGACGTCCTCAATTGCAGTTG